GAGGGAAAAAATAAATGAAGCTCCAGGTATCCAGCTTTTGAAGTATAGTAAGACTGAAATGTGATCAGCTGAAACCTAACTCAGAAAAGCAAACTAAATGGCAATGACTCTAAGGTGTGGTTTGGGAAGTGGGTTGGTTTTTTGGCTATTTTAGCTTGAGGCTAAAAAACTTGATAGGATAGGCTTTTTCGTGAGGTGGCCACATGTGAAATGACCCAAATGCCCTTATAGTGAAAGTACCAAGCTGCACAAACGGCTAACAACGTCAGCCTAGTCTTTGCTTTTAAAATTTTTTTTTTTTTTTTTTCAATTTGTTTATTTTTTTGCCTGGTAGGGCAATTTATGTTTTGTTTTTTTGAAAATTACGTGGAAAATGAATTCACAAACTTGGATAATTTTCTTCTCTTTTTTTTATAGTTTTTTATTATTTTGTTTCTTGGTTTTGGAAAAAGCATTATTAATTTTTTTTTTTTAAATTTCTTTTATTAATTAGCAGATCTGCAGTCAGAAAAAAAAAAACAAAACAAAACAAAACATGAACCTCAATTTACCACAAAAAAAAAATTTATCACAGAATGGTATCAAGATTAGCATTTGTAGAAAAAAAAAGGGGGGGTATTTGGCTACATTTCCATGACAGAGCAGTGGGTTTCCCACATGCGGGAAAAAAAAATTGACATAAACAAAGCAAACACAAATCAAAAAAACAACCACAAATGCCCAAAAATAAATGGCGGAAAATGTTTAATCACCCACAACAATGGCTTTGACAGATGAATCCACCAGATCGGGTTGAAGGCGATGGATTTAGCACAAACAAAATAGAAAAGCAACCAGTACCTGAAGATCGGTGGTGTTTCAGATGGCGAGTTCTTCTTTGGAGTTCTTCGCGCAATGTGTCGTCCGGTTCCGATCGGCTTTGGCGTTGTTCACGCGATATCTTCGCCGTTCAACGTCCCTGATTCGCCCCTTCGCTTCAGCGTGTTGTTGGTGTGACCTAGAATAATTTCAGTGTTACGTGTGTGGTGAGGCGGTGCTGTGGTGAAGCAGAGTGGGAGGGGGGTAGTTTGGTAAATTCACCCTAGCCTGGGACAATGCATAGCACATGAATCTTCTTTGTCTGTTAGTTTTTTGGACTGTAGTGGCTATTTTAGCCCAAATCTGCCTTCCCAAATCCTGTGGACAAATAATTAATTATTGATTGGCTATGCCTCCATTTGGGAAGGGAGATTTGGGCTAAAATAGCCACTACAGTCCAAAAAAGGCTAAATTAGCCACTCCCAGAGAAAAGAGATTCGCGTGCTATGCATTGTCCCAGGGCAGGGTGAATTTACCAAACTACCCCGCGCTCACTCTGCTTCACATGAGCACCGCCTCACCACACACGCAACACTGAAATTATTCTAGGTCACACCAACAACACGCTGAAGCGAAGGGGCGAATCGGGGACGCTGAACGGTGAAGACATTGCGTAAACAATGCCAAAGCCGATCGGAATAGAAGGACACATCGCGCGAAGAACACCAAAGAAGAACTCGCCGTCTGAAACACCACTAATCTTCAAGTACTGGTTGCTTTTCTGTTTTGTTTTTGCTTTGTTTGTGCGTAAATCCGTCACCTTCAACCTAATTTGGTGGGTTCATCTATCAAAGCCATTGTTGTGGGTGATTAAACATCTTCCGCCATTTTTTTGGGGCATCTGTGGTTGTTTTTTTGATTTGTGTTTGCTTTGTTTATGTCAATTTTTTTTTCTGCATGTTGAGAAACCCACTGCTCTGTCATGGAAATGTAGCCAAATACCCCCCTGTTTTTTTTTTTTCAACTGCAAACGTCAAACCATGCTGTGATAATTTTTTTTTTTAGGTAAATTGAGTTCAGTTATGTTTTGTTTTGTTTTGTTTGTTTGTTTTTTTTTTTTTTCTAACTACAGATCTGCTAATTAATAAAAGAAATTAAAAAAAAATTAATGATGCCTTTCAAAAACCAAGAAACAAAATAATAAAAAACTACAAAAAAAAAAGACAAGAAAATTATCCAAGTTTGTGAATTCATTTTCCATGTAATTTTCAAAAAAACAAAACATAAATTGCCCTACCAGACAAAAAAATAAACAAATTGAAATATATATATATATATTAAAAGCAAAGACCGTTTGTGTAGTTTGATACTTTCACTATAAGGGTATTTGGGTCATTTCACATGTGGCTACCTCACAAAAAAGCCAAAAAGCCTATCCCAAACCAAGTTTTTTAGCCACAGGCTAAAATAGCCAAAAAGCCAATCCACTTCCCAAACCACACCTATATCTAATATATAAGCTGGATTTTACATCCCAAACACCTAAACATGAACCATCACATCTTTCTTCAACAAATAATTATAATTATTCATGCAATACCATATAGAACCCAATCATATGCTCAATTGTAGTTCTACCGTGATGCAAATACTTGTCAAGAGTTTCAGATACAAATCAGAGTTTGATGTAGGACAACTTTTAGAAAGTAAAAATCAAGCTGCCTACCATTGGTTTTATGGAGGGTTAGGGTGGCGAAAAGCTAGTAGAGTCGGGGCTTAATGAGGGAAAAAGAAAGTTTATAGGGATTGTAGACAAACAGGTGCAAGATTTTGATTGATTGCCCACATGGCAAATTACTGTATTTTTAGAAAAAGTGGTGCTGGAAGGTCTGGACACCGATGATTTTATGGGATTTTGGTGTCAATTCGAAGGTAAAGGATTGGAAATTGTTTAGGCTAACATTGGTGGTGCTTTAAAGCTGAAAAGGAGACTGGTCCTGGGCCGTGAACAATAACCTAGAACAACAAAGTTATTCTTGTTTGGAGAACAAGAAAAAGAAGAAAACCAAACCAAACTAACCTAAGCTTTGTCTCCCACTCTAGTAGGGTCGGCTACAAGAATCCTTTTTTACTATTCTACTTTGTCAAGGGCTATATACTAGAAGAAAGTGAAGAAGAGAGGAAAAAAACATGCATACACTTGCAAATACTACACAAAAGCTCACTAATACAACACCGAATTCTCAAGATTCAACTTTTCACTGACAAGGAAGATTATATGCACATATATAGGTTGCTGCTCCTAATTCTAATAGTAGTAAGGCTTCAGTTCAGGAAACCAATACACTTTCGACTCTTCAGTAAAAACAAAATATCCTAGATTTACTGTTGACCACAGATAATACCCAAAAGAACATAACTAGACCTGTAGTATGCCCTGTTGACCAATTCTAGAGTTCAAGTCCAATAAACTAGAAATTACCAAAATACCTTGACTCCTAAAACATAAGAAAATGAAAAGCAACCAGTAATAAACTGACTCTAATTTAGGAAACACACCATGGACATTTTTCTTCAGACAAAAAAGTCATTTCGTAAACTGTGAGCCCCATAGGCTTTGTTTTAGGTTTCCAAAGTGGGTATGCATTGTCTAACCAAACAATAGCTGCCAAATCAAGTTTAAGGATTTGGTAAAATGAGGATGAGAATCATTCAACTAGTTCTCTTCCATGTTTTATTCATGGAATTATAAAACATGGCAAATATTGAACTTGTAGTCAACAGAACCACTGGGATCATCTAAGGAAAGCTAAAGATGAAAATGCACCTTTCAGATTGGTTACTACCAAAATCTGAATTTACTGATAATCGTAACTAGTACTGTTTCTATCAGATATGATATTTTTAAAACTCCCTCGTTTATTTGAAATGACCTTATTCCAACAACTCTGGATGACATTCGTTTCCATGTAAATCACTCCTGAAAAAGTCTCATAGAATAGAAAATGCTAGAGATGAGCATCTCTCCATTACAGACACAGAAGACATGACATTTTTTTTTTCCTTTTAGTCATTTTAAGGGTTTTGGTTTACACAACCGTAAGAAAAATGTAAAGCCAAAATGGAGAAAAACTTTATTCACACAAAAAATATTACACAAGATGTGTATTATGCTGAAGGAATAAAAAGAAACCTACAAATAGACCTGACAACTTATGCACAGCTTGAAACTTGCTTTGTTATATCCAATCCAATTCTGGAAATTAAATAATTCACACAAAAACAAAGAGAACCTGACACTATGATTATGCTTATGGGAAGCAACACTTCCTGGCTGCAAAAGTATGTTTCAATAGGTGAGATCATCAAACAAGAAAGGGACGACTCCATATAATTTGAAATGGTTAATCATTTCTTTTGTTTATGGAAAGTATAAGACGCTGAGATTAAGCCTAGAAATCACCACACTTTAAGAAAGGTGTCCATGTCATGTCACTGATATTTTAATAAATCTTTCCCAACAATCAGTTGTTCAACTGTATTAGAGGAATTTCTGCATCATAAAATTGGTAAATTACATCTGAATTCTTTCATCAGCTAATTATGTCAGAAGGCATAACTAGCAACGCACCATATGGTATCAAATTTGTCTAAATGTTAAAGGATCATCCCATGTCGATTCCATCAATTTGAGGTTCTGGGAGTTTGGCCTGGGTAAAATAGTTGGAAACCTAACCTTTTGCTGTAGGACATAGTGACTTGACTTCCCTGGACTTAAATCTGCTAGATGGTAGACACAACTATTTTTCCACCAAGCAATGGGCCTGTATCCACTTTTTCCAATTATGGGCATATTTTTAGTCCTATACAATAGAACGTCATACCCATAAAAACATGGCCAAAATCTGCCAGAGTTCCATATCTTGCAGAGGTTCAATTGTGAAGTCAATAAATTTCTAGTTCAAAAATTGACCTTATTAACTAATCAAAGCTAGTTCTCTACCATACAATCTCACATTTGTGAAGCTATTCAAATCCTGAAACTCATTATAAGTCATAAAAACTCAAGCTTGATATGTTGGTTAAAAACTAAGTCAATATGCACAACTTCATCCAGAATCATTCTTGTCAACGGCATCTGAAAACATGAAGTTCATCACATAAAAGAAAGGAAAAGAAAAGCAGGATTTTATGATCCTCACCTGAGGCCAGCGTCCACCAGAATGCGTGACAAATGATGCCCTTGGAAGTGCATTGGCAACTTGGTGTCCCTCCTCACTCCATTCCTTGGACCAACCACTGGACCAAATCACTTGCATTGGCAAACCTTTCAACCCCTCTGAACTACCCCATTCCACCAAATCAAAACTACAATTCAACTTCTTCCCCATTCCCACAATTGCTCTCCTCCCGTCCCTCCCCTTCAAAAGAATCCTATGAGCCTCTACATCCAAACCACCAACTGATTTTGAACAAAACAATTCAAGAACCCTCACAAACACAAACCTAAACCCTAAAACAAGTTCTCTAACCACCGGCATTGCCAATACCCACAAAGGCAAAGCTGGGGAACTTGAAGTGGTGTCAAGAAGGGTCACACTCCTCAACAACCCCGAATTCTCCAACACCCAATTTGCGCCCAATCCCAAAGCCGAATCGTGCAAAACCAAATCCACAGGTGCCAATCCCATAGAATCAATCACTTGCCCTAAAACCCTACCCATTTCTTCAGGCCCCAATTCTATTGCCTTAACCACCTCTCTCCTTGAAACCCGAATCTCATTTGCTTCATAATTCACATACCCCTTTTCAACCAACTGATCAAACCCCCAAAACAAACCCTTCTCTTTAATATCACTGTAAAGCTCCCAAACCCTTTCTAAACCCCCACTCTCACTCTCTTCCATCACCGTCATCGATTTATCAGAAAACCCAGAACCGGGCAGATCGATGGCGAGGGCACGGAGGCCTTTGGAGCCCAAAGACTTGACTAATTGGCGAAAAGTGTAAGAACTACAACCCAACCCATGTACAATGAGAACACTAGCGTCTGATTTGAGTGGACCATCTTGGATTGTGAAGACTTCAATTGGTGGATGGTTTGGGATTGTTTGGACCTTGATGGTTCGACCCTTGGAGTAGTGGTGGCGGAGATTGGTGGGGAGAGAGAGGAACCAGGTTTTGGGGTCTTGGGGGGAAAGGGTAGAGAGAGAAACGAAGAGGAGAGTGATGAGAGAGACTGTGAGGGTGGAGTAGAACCAGAAAGTGAAGGGGTTTGATTGGGAGGTAGGTTGTTTGTGGGTCGGTGGTGGTGGTGGTGGTGGTGGTGAGGTTTTGGGGTTTGGGGGTTGTGCTGGTTCTTGCTCTTCTTCGGTAATGATCGCCATTGTAGAGAGCTTGAAAGATCGTGGAAAGCCAGTAACATAGACTGAACTGAAAAAGCTGGACTTTGGTGGAAATGGGGATGAGAGAGAGAGAGATGTAAAGTGGAATTTTTTTTTTTTTTTTTATAAAAAAAATTACAAAAAAATGAGAGATAAATTACAAAAATAAGAGAGATGAAAGTTATTTTGAGATTAGCAATGATATCTCTTTTTAATTTTAAAACTTTGTTTGAGTTGTAATGATGTGGTAGATAAAAAAAAATAAAAGAAAATTAAAATTAAAATATCACATTACATTAGGGTTATTAAAGCCTTTTTATTAGAGTTTTTAGTCATTTTTCTTTTGTGATACCGTACAAGTATAAAGCTATAATGTGGGTAAATTATAAATACATCTCTGAGTTTTATTTAAACAACAATGATTTATCCCTCTTTTTTCCCACCCCTTTGACCCCTTCTCTCTCTCATTGGTTATCTTTTCTTTTTCTTTTTCTTTTTTTTCCTGCTCCTTCAATTACCACCTGCCACGTGGCAAAGGGGGGTGAGGGGTGACCCCCAAAAGGGGTCTCAAGCATTATTCTTATTTAAAATATGAATTGTCTCATGTGGTTTGAAAAATTACAATTACCTCTTTGCCAGAATTTTTTATCTAACAGAATTAATTGAAAAAGTGAAATTTCTAACTGTCTATCTGTACAATAATAAAATTATCTGAATTATTAATTGAAATAAAATTTTAATATTATTAAAAATTGTTAATTAACTTGATAATTTATTAATAAAATGACCTATTTATTATAAAATTAGAAACCTTGAAGAGCATAATGTAATTTTTAAAACTACAAAAAATAATTTGTAATTTAAATAAATCTCAGAGGATGTGTTTGTAATTTATCCCTTGTAACATATAATATTTGTGTATTTTTTTTATTTTATTTTTTCTGTCCGACTAAGTAATTTTTTATTTTTTTAAAGATGCAACCTCTCCCATACAAAACGACACTGTTTTGTATGTAATTCTTCCAAAAACGCTTCGTTTTGATGCACCGAACGTTTTCGACCCGAGTCCTGTCTTGGCGCTTCCCAGTTTTAAGAATAAAATATAGAAAAAATAGTGATTGCTTAAGGCATTTCCTATCCTTAACCTCTAAATTTATTTTTAATAAAAGATTTCTTAAAAATCATCTTCACCCCCTTTCATTCATCAAATCAAGAATGAAATATTATTTTCATCAAATTAAAAATTTATTAAATTTAAATTTAATAAAAAAATTAGAGATAATTTTCTTTTTCATTAAATTTGATGAAAAATGAGTTTTTGGGTAAAAGGGAAATTTTGAAAAACATTTGTTGAAAATTTACTAAAAAGATTAGTATAATTCATACGTGAATGTTCATAATTTACTTTTTTTTTTTTTCATCTTTACTAAATTTTTAAAAAAAAATTAAAAAAAAACTTACGCTTGTAAATTCAACTCGACGGGATGAATCAAAAGATTAAAAACAAAAATAAACTTGAAATAACTTTTTTTTGCTTGTTTTTAGGAATGGCAACGGGGCATAGCAGGATGGGGCCGAGGATCACACTCCCCGTGCCCAATCCTCGAAGGCACAAAATTTTTTGTTTCCATTCCCGTCCCCAATCCCTGACGGGAAATCCATCAGCCCACTGCCCCTACCCCCGAACGAGGATTGGGTTTCCCCAACCTTGAAAAATCCCCAATTTTTTTTTTTTTTTGAATTTTGCATATCACAAAGATATGAGAAGGGACAGGGAAAAAGAAACAAACTTCTCCTTCAACAGATTCTCTTATTTATTACCATGAACTAAACTGGGGAGAATGTAAAAGAAATCAAGATAAATTTGATTCTCTATTCTTTTTCTTTTTCACTAATTTTTTTTTCCTAAATTTTTTTTAGCAACCAAACTAACAGGGGGACCAAAAAAATTGAAACCTAAAGGACCAGAAAAATTTGTTCATTATACATACACACACACACACATATATAGACAATAGATCTACTTCTTTTTATCAAATCGATGAGTTGCTCAAATTTCTTGGCGGTTTGTTGCTGAATTGCGATAGTGAAGGAGTGACTCGATCGGTAAAGATCCAAAGCTTACATCGTCGTCGTTTCTAACCTATTCGCTAGATCTGTTACCTTCGTCTGCTGCCTCACTCCAATCAGAGAGAGAGAGAGAGAAATCGAGAGAGAGAAGATAAGAGGCGGTCGTCTCTGTTGAGAAGAGGATAACGGAAGGAGGGAGTCGGCGGTGATAAGAGGGTTTTAGAGAGAGAGAGAGAGAGAAACCGAGCAAGAGAAAATTGAGAGGCAGTCGTCTCTGTGTATGAGTGTGAGTGATTGTGTAATGTTTTAGGATTTGGTTTATATATATATATATAGGGGTATGTTATCCCAGTTAGGCAACCCAAGAGGGGAATGGCATTGATCAAGTGCCTTTCCAACAAGACTCACAGAAATCCAAGAATCCAATCAATCATCCTAGAAATTAAATCCCATACCCACATAGTCACATAAGCATGTTATCAATTAAACACATAGCATATGATTCTACATCTAAGTCTCTATCAAGCGAGACAAACCCATTGTGATCCTAATCACTTCCCACATACCCAAAGTATTCGACCCCGGTACACTCTGATACCAAGTTGTCACGCCCTCAATAAAATAACATTAAATCCATCAATAGAGACATGCAATGATATATAAAAGCTCCATTTTCTTCTATTCATCAGAGTTCCATTACAAAAGTATTACATGTTAACAACAAAAGCAAATGCCCTACGGGCTTACAGCTTTCCAAGTTAACACTTGGTTACAACAAAAGAGTGCTAACTCATTTACACATTAAGCCCTTGGCTTGAATATACATGTAATACATCAAAGAAATAAAACAGCAAAAGTCTGCCTGCCTCTAGCCTCCTAAGCTACGTCCTTGGAGGTGGCATGCTATCTGTACCTGAAAATGATATTCCCATATAGGGTGAGCCACAGCCCAGTAGAAATATACTAAACCAAATATGAACAATGACTAAAAGATTAGCAGTTGATAGATGGCTAACACTGATACTTTCCCTTATCACATTTTACGGTTTCATGACATACAAGTCCATGTTACAATCCATTTTCCAATTCTTTTCAAATTCTCAGTTTATAACCCTGGCTCAGAACCTGGCCAAACAACTCATATGAGACAATAACTCATATGAGAATGCATGTACTGGCCAAATGGAATTGAGAAGGCAAGTGAAACGGCAGGGTTCACCGCTGCAAGCACACTTGTTAAGGTTCAGGTTGAGAAGGCAAGGGCAGAGGCAAACACTCCCGCTGCAACTGCACTTTCTAAGGCTCAAAAGATAGTTGCGGAGTCAAACAGATAGCACACAATACATGCAGAGGGACACGTGGCACCTTCAGCTTGGTGGCTCAAGGCAGAATATTCCATGTAATCCTCTGGAACACATGTCTTCTCTCTATTTGGCCACTTGGTGTCCTCTTGGCACCAAGAAAAAGCCTATAAATAGGACCCATTTCCCAAGGTTCAACAGGACGAATTTTAGGGATTTGGAGGAGATGCTGCCTATTTTGGCACTGCCATACATTTCTTCTTGAGCTACCTGCTTCACCATCACCCAGCTGCACACTCTTCAACTGCCCAGACAATTACTGTTGCTCATCCTCCAGTCATTCCACCATTGTCGGACCATTAGTATAGTTTTGCCTCTCTAATTACTTTCCTAACCTTGAACCCCCCTACATTTCTGGCGACTCTGCTGGAGAGGCTGCTTTGTTGATGGTTCATACCTGCAGTGGCTTGTACACTTCACTAGAAAAGATGGCAGATGATGAAGTTCAGCAACCCCCATGGCAGCAAGGCTCTTCTAATGGCGGAGCAGCATATGTAGAGGACCGTGACCACAATGTTGTGATTGAGGTAGTTCAATCACTCTAGGATACGCAAGGGGATATCTTGGTAGCTTTGCAAACTCTCATTGAGGCTATTATGGCCATGGCTTCTAGACCAGCTCCAGTGCAAGCACCTCCACCTGTAGCAGTCCCAAACCCAATGCCTAACCTGTTCCTCGAGGTTCGGGCCCTGATCCAAGTGCCTCTGGTGGTACCTCAGGCGAATGGTACAACCACTGGTTCGGCTACCCAGGAGCAGACTAGGCCATTCTAGCCCATTCATTTTGTTACTCTAGCCGATGTACAAGCTATGCTCGAGCAAGAGCGTAGCAAGAAACAACTACCATCTCTTCCCGACCTAGATGTGAAGCCCCCATACTCTCAAGAGATGTTGACCATGCCCTACCTAACTGGGTATACAATACCCAAGTTTATTAAGTTTGATGGAAAACAAGGCAATGCTAGAGAACACATGGTGATGTTCATTGAAACTCTTGGTGTCCATGGCAGTAACCACTCTCTGCACCTTCGAGAGTTCTCCAAATCACTTACTGAAAGGGCTTACAGCTGGTATATGAACTTGACTCCCAACTTGATCAAGAGTTAGGAGGAGATGGTGAACAAGTTCCACACGAAGTTCTTCCAAGTCCAAGAGAAAGTTACAACCCTCACACTTGGGCGAGATGTCCAAAAAGAAGGCGAAGATATACTGGACTATGTTAAGCGGTACTAAGATAAGGCGATTGATTGTCATGAACTAGTGGATGAGGCTCACTTAATCAACATATGTGTGGAGGGTGCCATACGCGACTGCAAAATTTTCTTGGTGAACCATAATCTGCCTACCTTTTCAGCCTTGATTGAGGAAGCTAGGAACCTCAATACTATTGGTCCTTTGCATAGATCCCATGACAGCTATCGCTACTTTCGCAGTAGCAGAGTTGTTGCGGTAACCTTTGCAAGAGGGAACCGCTCGTAAGGGGAGGCGTCATCCTCTCTGAAGAGAAAGAGTTATGAGGACAGAAATCCATATCCTTGTAGCCTTGAGAATGTTAAGGCCTTGGTTAAAGAATAGGTAGCTGATGGTGAACTTACTTTGCCCCCAGTCGATGTCTCTCCAACCAAGAAGGACAAAGAAAGCCCAGATTATTGTGTCTATCAC